ACCATTGCCTCCTTATCATCTAATCTTCACATAGTACCCAAAGTGATTTTCAAAAAACATGGGAACTACATATTGTCACTCTTGCTGACCATCCTTCAGTGGCACCACCCCACTGCACCTTACCAGCGTCTTCAAGACTCTCTTGCCTGCCTTTCTTTCTCATTCCCCTTGCTGCACTACAGGACCTGTGCATGTCACATTTCCACTTCCTGATAGTGTGTATGAGTTTCCCGCCTTCTGAAATGTTGTTCCTCACCTATCTTTAAAGATGTCCAGACCGCTAACTTTCCAACCAAAATTATCACTGTACCTAGATTGCTGTCCCATTACCTTATTTCATTTCCTCACAGCTCTTTTTACTATCTCAAATAATCTAGCATGTGTGGCTACTTGCCTATGTGTGGACTAGATAGATCACTAAAATGTAAGCTCCTTATGAGCAGGAACCATTTCTATCTGGTTGATTTACATTAGTACCCAGCCAGTGGTGCTGCGATCATATTTTTGAATGAGTACATAACAAGATGTCCACCTGAAGTTCAGAGGAATGTCCCAATCCACCCAACCCGAGGACTGAGCCAGTGTTTTTTAAGGTACAGTTCACCCACCCAGAGAATATTAGTTTAAAACACTGATTATACTGAACGGTGTCTCCCAATCTGATATCCCTATTCCACTCTACATTCTGAGTCAAGAGAAGTGGGCATCTGTCACAGACTAGGTGTTTCCTGGTACCCAGAGACAAGCACCAGATATCTGAAAGATAAAAAAAAAGGTACAGAGGAAGCAACTTCCTCAGGAAGCCGTGGGGAGGCCCTGGGTACTGAGGCAGAACAACAGCCACTAAAAGCTGCAACAGACTCTCAGATCAGTGCTCAACAATCAGTCCCTTAGTGGCTGGGACCTCTACTCTGGGAGTTGTGAGACACTAGCAGACGCACATACGCAACACTAAATGCTTAGGACTTCCTCTATTGAGAATTGTTCATTTCATTTCACTCTTCTGAGAGTCTCCTGGCCTTTTACGCTGGTCAGTAAAGAGAAGTAGTAGTGACGATAGCCCATGATCATTATCTACCATTTGGGGTAAGAGCTTGAGATATCAAAAGAGCCAAGCCAATGAGAAGTAGCTGGGCCCATTCTGTTAAAAACATCTTGAGCCAAAGGACCACAAGAACTAAGTCATAGACGGGGCATGTTGCAAAAGAGGTGCAAAATCTATCAGAGTTAGGTAAGGCTTATCAGTAGAATTTAAATTTAGTCATGCAATTATATAGATTTTTAAGCTGACACAGCTCTAAGTATTATACTGAAATGTGATTTCTGCCACTAATGTTTCACACCAGAGAACAAAGGCACCCTGGGAAATTGTGGGGGTAGGGAACAAAGGCACCCTGGGAAATTGTGGGGGTAGGGAACAAAGGCACCCTGGGAAATTGTGGGGGTAGGGAATGCTAATGCTATTATGAGAGAGTTATTCTGAAATTCTGATTTTGCACAGACTTCTTCTCATCTAAATATTCATTCATTCAATATTAATGAAATGCTACCACTATGCTAGATACAAAAGAAGATAAAGCCCTGTTTAAAAAAAAAAATTCCTCCAAGAATTTTCAACTTAGCAGAATAGAAAAAAAAAAAAAACAAGTACACAGACGCTAGTGAATAAGGCAATCTCAAGAGTAGATGGGCGGCCTCGAGATGAAGGGTGCTTCCTGAAGAAGACAGCATAGTGGTCTGGGAGGATGGGTGGGTCCTATCAGCAGAGATGACCATTGACAGAACAGCTTGAGTAAAGGGATACAGAGAGAAGAACATGTACCCCAGGAACAACAACACTGCAGTCTGGGGCAAAGGGCATGACGATGCCAGGTTGGGAAGGACAACTATCACTTCCATTAACTTCACTAAAAAGCAGGAGGTTTCTTCTGTCCTTCATATGACCTAAGACCCAATACTCTCATGTGAGTGCCCTAAATCATTTAAGTATGAAGTTAATCCCAAAAAGACAGAAATTAAATCTATTCAATTCTTTTGGAGCTGCTACTACTATGGATGTTCTCTCCTGCTACTAAGGATGTTCCACAACCTTGGTTGTGGGCCAATACTTGTATTATTTTAGTAACAACATGGAAGCAACTAGAGAATGGACATGGGCCAGGTGTGGGCAGAGGTGGTATGTGTGTGTGTGTGAGAGGCAGTCAGACACACAGAAAGAGAGACTTGGACAATTTGGAAAATATGAGAAAAGTTATTGTGGCTCTTTTAAAAATGAAAAGGCTGAGGCCTCTCTGGTGGCCCAAGGGTTAAGTCTCAGCACTATCACTGCTACAGCCTGAGTTTGATCCTGGCCAGGGAGCAGACTCACATGTTGCAGCAGGCCTCTCCTGTCTGCCCGCTACTGCCCTCAGCAGTGTACTTCTGTAGATCTGACTGTTATACTCCCCACTCTGTCTCTGGTGAATCCACTCACGCCTCCCCCCACCTCTGGCCTATATCCCAGTTCTCCTGTGCAAAAAAAAAAAAAAATTAAAACACTAACATAAATCAGTTTTCCTAGCACTATAATTCCAAATGCATAGCTAATATACTTAAATGAAAATTCCAGAAGGCTATCAGTTCTTAGAAAACACATTTTATAATTTCATTTTAGAGACATATTCTGTCAACAATTGTTGTTACTAAGATAATACCAGTATTGGCCCATAACCAAGGTTGTGGAACATCCTTAGTGGTAGGAGAGAACATCCATAGTAGTAGCAGCTCCAAAAGAATTGAAAGATTTAATTCAATTAATTAATTAACATTTTATAATTTCATTTTAGAGATATATTCAGTCAACAATTAATTAAATGTTATTTTTAAATGATTGTGATGAAATGGCATCACTAATATTGTATAAGAAGAAACATACCACCTGCTGTACCAGTCAAAAGCCCTAGCCTACTACTGACACTCAGTACAGCGGAGCCTCCAAAAAGGGAAGGGGTGAAGAGAGCTAAGTTTACGCAGGTGGCCACTCTCTTGATCTGCTCTTCTGACATTGACGTCCCCCATACCTCCTCAAAACCTCACTCTCTATATGCACTTCCGGGGCTGAGGGTATTGCTCAAATGCAGATCCTCTCATAATCTTTACCTGCCACTGGATTAATATCTAAGATACCTTCAAATGGTAAAACATCCTCTGGTTCTATTTTATGGTGTCATCTTTAGATTTAAGGAGAAAGACTTGAAAAAAGCATCTTCCTAATTGAATCTAACAAACACAGATTCCAAAGGCCATCTTAAAAGCATTAGTCGCTAACAAACTATCAGTAACAAACACTTAAGGAGTGGAATGAAAAAATCAAACATTTAAAGAACCCAGGAGTTGCCAAATCATAGAACATGTTTTTATTCTGTATTTTTATTAGCCATCATAAGCCCCCTACAAATAATATATAAACATGTTTATATTATATAGACTAATGTTTCTACACACACACAAAGAGAGAGAGAGGATAAAAATTACTATAAAGATCAAGCCTGGTTTCCATAGTGTAGCAGTTATCATGTTCGCCTCACACTATAAAGATAAAATGAACCTATGATGGACCTCATTCAATGATCTAAATTCCACTACTTTAAAAACATTGGCACCTATTGCTACAACCTTCAAATTATAAGTTAGTAGGAACTGCACCCTTGCATTATATCAAGGACGCATGTCTAGTGAACACTCTAACCTTTGATTCCTTCATATCAACACTAAGAGATTTATTTAGGCTAACACTTGGCTTTTCTTCACAAAGATCTAAGGCTCTTTCCTGATACCTATAGCCGGTTCTTTTCAATGGCTAGCTATTTCATTTTTAAATTTCTGTATTGCTTTCAAAGATACATATTGAGGCATATATTCAGACTTTTAATAATAAACACAAACCCACAGAAATCTACGTTAATATTCTAGAAAGAGTATTATTAATTTGGGCAGGAGAGAAGGAGCGGGAGGTCATTCAGTTTATAAACAATTGTGTTTACAAACCATTAAGAACACTCAAAACCTAACCACTATAGACAAAAACCTAACCGTTAGAAAAGATTCATGTTGAGAGTTTATTTTAGATTTTGTTTGTTTTCCCTGTATTCTAGTCCACCTCTGCCAACAATAACAATTGGATAACATGTAGACTTCCTTTCAGCTCTCAAAACTTGCATATTAAAGAGCTCTGATGATTAACACACTTTCTTGTCACCGTGACCTAAAACAATCAGACTAGTTCTAAAAATGAGGTATGTTTTTGCACAAGTGGGACAGGAAGAAAAGAGTTGAGAGTCTGAATGCTCCAAACGTGAATGATTAGTGTGTAATGCAATGCTGATGTTCATTTTTAAGAGAGGTAAGGTAAGCAGCGTAGGAAAATGCATAAAGAGAACTGTCACGTGAGGCACTGAGATAAATGTGAATCAGAAGTTTATTCTGTATGTCCATGAACTGCCCACTGACCTGGCCTTACAACCTCCAATCAAGGCTTCTTGATAGCCCTAGGCAATGTTCAAGAAAATTTAGTGACATAACCATACGTGTAAGCAATGTAAGCTTCAAACTGAAAGGGTAACACTAATTTTCTAATAGTGAGGGTGTGATGTTAGCCTCTGCACCACCTGGACAAAATATAGAAACTTGAAACAAACATTCTCCCAGAGAGCAGAGATACTACACTTCTGCCAGCGTGCAGACTGACAACACTGCAGAATATTATTGCATCAGTAGGAACTTCCCCCAAATTGTATCCCAAAGTTAGTTAATATGGAACTGTTTTTTGTTCTTTTATATATATATATATATATATATATATATATATATATATATGAAGGTCGGTATCTTCATGTCTTGAGTCTTTAATAATAAGCCATTTCACAGCTCCAGGAGTTTTGAAGTGAACACATCTCATCTGGTAGCCCCTCACCCCCAGCTTGCCAGAATCTATGCAAGTGAAACCTAGGAGTCTGTCTTACCTGTAATCTGACTCTGTCCTTGTGGATTAAAAGGACTTGGTGCAGAGTTCAGGGAGGGCCGTGGGTTCTGAGGCGGGACACCTACTCTCATACTGGGATGAGGAATGCGCCCTAAATCACTGAGGCGGTCAGAGAACAAACTAGGTTTAGAGTCATCAAGCTTCTGTCTGTGCCCTGGAAACAGCAAATCATAAAATAAAAGCATATTAATTAGCTGAACAATTGACCATGCTAAATAGATATGTGAACATACATACTGGGGACTTATGCCAAGGAATTATCAATACTGATATTTATAATGCTGTGTCTATATAGAGCCTCCCATTTCATATTGCTTTACAATCATCTGGTGGCACGCGGTCTTAGTTCTGTTCTATAAATGCGGAGTTGGGGACCCGGAGACTGATGCAGAGTTAACCGCTAATAGAGAGGCCGGAAGCTAGTGCATAAGAGGAACTCTCTAGGAGCTTCCTCTAGCCCGCTTGGTGAGGATGGGAAAGAGGAATGTGTCCTGGGATGTGTTTGCTTCTTTCACGAAGGAGAAAACCTCCTGTGAAAGTGTTATCTATCCCAAAGTTGGGGCAGAAACAGAGACAAACATGTTTGTTAAAGGGAAATTCCCAGGATGACCATGGGGAATTTTGTATTTTTTATGCTACAACTACACCTTTCAGAAATGCCCCCCTCCATTTAAGAGGGGAGGAAAACGTGGAAATACAGGCAAAGAATCTTAATATTTTGTGATACGTCAAAGACTGAAAGCACACAATAGGCTTTTGGAGAGAATGCATTCTTATTTTAAATTTAGCACTGTGGTTTTATAAGAGATATTGGAAAATACCCTTTGGGTTACCATGTGAGTGTGAGAATCTATTATTTAAAACAAAACAAAACAAAAATCTTTCTTTCTTTTCTATTTAAGTGTAAAATCTAAGGAAATTCTAGATATTAAAGAAATATGCAAATTAAAATATGACCAAGACATTTTTCAAATAATCAAATCATTCTTAGCAAATTGCATAGTGTTGTCCGATGCAAGAATAACAGGGAAACATCTCAGTCTCTTTGTAATGCTGACTATGTGTAAATCCATAAAACAAATACAGGGATGGCTAATGTGAAAACAGAAATATATTGTAGGCTTCTTCTCCATTCTGCAAAGCTGAGACCCTAGGACTCTGTCTCAACATTTTCACAAGATGTTAAATGACTGAAGTTACTCAAAGAAGAGCCACTGAGATGACTGGAATAAGAATGTGTATTTTAAAGAAAAATTCAGGAAATTAGGATTATTTTCCAAGAAAGAAATAAAAAAAAAAGTCTTGAAAGGAGAATCATCAAAAGGCCTTCTCTAATGGGGAGCTACATTCTATCAATGGTAAGAACACCTCATCTTCCCGAACAAGAGGAATGGACCAGGATAGGGTTAAGCTGAACATTAGAATTCCCCAACTATAAGTTGTCTTCATAAGACAAATTCCTTATTTTATTTGCCCCAAAATGTATTTTCCTGTCTCCCTTTTCATTGCCTACCCAGCCCAAAGAAAACAGACAGGAAGCCAAGGCTTGGTAATATGAGTGTAGCTGTCTCCAAAGCCAAGCATGTTTCAACTAGGTCCATTAACTGAAATGCACCCACCACCCTATTTCCTGCCAGTGCAAGTTTTTTTGGGCATCTGCTCGAACAGAGGGACTAACACTAGGAGAAAAATGATCAGGAAAAGCTAAGGAAACTCACTGTTTGTCTATGGTTGTTTTCCCAACCACTTATGACTTTATTCAGATTACAAATAGATTTCAGAACTCTAAAGGACCTTGAGAGGTTACACAAAACAGCTCCTAACCTCAGCAAAGAAGGTGTCCACAGATGAAGTGAGTCGGGCTTTCTGAGGACAGACAACAGCCTGTGGCCCTCAGCCACTGACCAGCTTCCCCAGACTAGGGTGTTAGCCCAGTTCACAAAGGTTCCCACTCATCATGTTGCACCTCAGTGTTGGCATTCTAGCTTTCTCCTCCCAGCTGCTACGGAGGACTAAAACACCCAGATCCAAAGAGTGAGACCCAAGAAATGGGCTTTGTAAGGTGCTACGGCCAGTTCTCAACGCAAGCAGCAGCAGCAAGGATTCAATTACAAAGTTAATAGCTCACCCATTACCCTAGACAAACTTCCATCCATACAACTTGCTGAGTCTAACCAGTTTCATTAATTGGGGAATTATGGAGTATTTATCACAGTTAGGTCCATGAATTCCATTCCATATCCAAAAAAAAATAAAAGTACTAGTGTAGTGTTGGTTCAGCTGTAAACATTAACAAGAAAACTTAAGGAATTGTCCCTGGAAGTTATTTTTTTAACAGGCCTTATTTTTGGAATGGCGTATTCCCTGGGGGTTGACAGAAAGATGACATGATCTTGCGTGGTTCCTCTCTACACTAGGACTTCATGTGGGTCATGGGTCACAAGAAAATTTAATAAGCTTTGCCTCTGCTTCTACAGCCTTTTCATTAGGTTTTCACATAGACCGTATGAGATGTGAGCTCAGTATGTAGATGTGTAAGAACACTATTTCCTCTAAGCCCAGGGCTTCAGAAGAGTACTAGAAGGTTGTAGGCCTAAGTAAAGGGCTTCAAGTAGCACTAATAATTGTGTAAAACTTAGGAGCAGGTGAAATTTCATGAGACTCAGTGACCTTTTGGGAAGTATCTTCAAAAACAAGCTGCTCAGTATCTCCAAATACCCTACAGTAATTCAGGGAACTAACTGTGGGTGTGTATACAAAAAACATCCGCATTTTTTCCTTGTAGCTGTCTGTCCCTTCATTGCCACCACGACAACCACAACAAAATTCTTATAGTACAATGACGAACAAAAGCTGAACAGGTTCTTCATCTTTCAACCATGACAAATACTTGCTACCACTAAACCACATCAGGGTAACACTTGAATGAATGATAGGAAGAAAAACGTACTTAAATGCTCAGCACCCAAGCAAACGCTTCAGAAATTGAGAACATCAAACAGAGAAGGAACACTGACTTAATTCAAGGACAGGGTTCTGCTGTAGTGTAGGAAGAGCAAAGCCTCATCCAAAGGCCAATCAGCAGACTCCCAAGCAGGAGGAACATAAAAGGAATAGTAGATTCTTCAACTATATGGTGATAGCTGGAAACTAGACTTCTGTGGTAAATATAATACAGTACATACAGATGTGGATTTTATCAAATCTATACCTGAAACCTATCCAATTCGTTATAAACCATATGACATATATATCTACTTCAGTAGTAAAATATGACTTAGAAAAGAAAAAAGAATGGAAGATTCTTGTGTTCTATGCAACCTTTATCGAAGTGGAAGCCAGGATACTCTTCCCTAGCTATGCCTTTTCTCCTGAGCAATGGCTCTTCCACCCTAGAGGGAGAGGAAAAGTACAAATGTCCAGTTCCCACATAAGCTCAGTCTTATCAGATTCTCTGGAAGTGGATCCTGGGGAGAGTTATTCTTTTAGTACTCACCCATGATCCCATGTGCAGCCAAGGTTGAGAACTACTGTCCAAGATGATTTCACAGCCCCATGTACATAGTCCCTTCACACTTGTGACTTCCTCATTTCTAGGGTAAGCCCTGACCTCGCTTCTGAGTTCCATTGTTTTACTGCCTGCTTGAAATCTCCCTTGAGAGGTCGCAAAGGTTTCTTCAACATGGTACATTCAAGACAGAAGTATTATGCTTTTTAAAAAAAATAAACTACTCCCTCCTCCATTCTCAGGAGATGGCACCAGTCCCCCGATTGCTTAAGCCCAAAACTTAGATATTTTCTTTAACTTCTTCTTATTTCATATTCCCAGTCTATTGTATTTTATTAATTCCATCTTGGATGTCTATCCTGGCTTATTCTGTTTTCTCATTTTCACCAGCACAAAACTAGACTGGGTCCCATCCTCTCTCTGGTCATCTGTCACTGCTTCTTTTTAGTTTCCCATCACAGGACTTCTTTCTATTTCTGAAATCTTGCCCCACACCAGCCATTCTTCATATGATCTGCTCCTTCCCACCCCATGCCTCTAATAGTGAACCCCACTTCCTAGGAAAGGTTTTGCCTGCTTTATCTGATAGCAAATTCCTTCCCTCACGAGTACTCCTCCATTTAATCCCTTAACAGCTGTCACCAAAATCTGTAATTATGTGTGCTTGTTTCTCCCCTGCTAGACCTAACTTCCATAAGAATATGTGCTCTGTCTTATTTACAACTGTATTCTCACAACCTTCTTCAGTGCCTGCCATCCAGTAGAAGCTCAATAAATATTTATGCAATAAATGAATGAATGTTTTCCTCTTTTAGATAAATGCCTCGGTGGAGAGAAAATTTTCTAGCAAAGGATATCATAGCACAACATTATCTTTCTAAAAAATGTTAGTCTCATCTTATTTGACAATTTAGTGAATCCTGTAGGCAAAGCCTTTCTTTCAGACAAGTATAAAATGCAACTTCCTAAAAATTTTTCCTGAAGGACATTCATTTAAGTGAAAGCCATCTGCTTTCACTATAATTCTTAAGTATTGTTGCAAGTGACTAGAGCCAGAGAACTGAAAAAGATAATAGTAATCATTTACATTCTAAATTTTAGACCAATGTGTTTCTGTTGGAAGATCCTCCATCCCTGAGAGAGGAAATCTCTCCCTAAAATTCCAGTTAATGGCAGAATTAGAACTCAAGTCCAACTGACAACAAAATTATTTTAGATTATAAGAATGCAACATCAGGGCCCTCGCTGGCAGCGCAGCGGGTTAAAGCACAGTACTAAGAAGCTAAAACCACTTCAGCACGAGTTTGATCCCCACCCTGGAGGTGACCCACATGGTGTGGCAGACCTGCCCTGACCCTCCCAGTGCTCGCCTCAGTAGTGTACTTTGTCGATCTGCCTGTTCTGCTCCCCACTATGTCTCTGGTGAAGCCTCTCACAGCCCCTGCACCTCTGGCCTGCACCCCAGTTCTGTATGCATAAATAAACAAATCTTTAAAAAAAAAAAAAAAGAATGCAACATCAGTCTTTCAGGGAAAGCTTTGACCAAAAGTAAATTTTAAATGGGAAAAAAAGTAGTTTTCAGAACAAGTGAATTTCAAAATCTGAGTGTGTTTGGTTGAGTTTGCAATAAAGTCAGCAGCACAAAG